TCAACTTTTCTTCATAGGACTTGTTTTTCCTCACTGTCCTGGGGATTCAAATCACCCCTTACTCAGAATTTTTTTCAATTCCACAAAGCACAGTGGTTCTCAAGGTTTTTCCACCATGGACCACTTGAGAATTGGTATTGGTGCTGGCAGACAACTTAATGATTTTTCTGCCTGTTGTAACCAATCGCAATATGCCATGCTTGGTGTAATTGTATTGTTCTTCTTTTATTTCTTACCTTGCATTCCATTGCATTGCATTTCCATGGAATTCATATTGCAATACAACAAAATGCAATGTAAGAGATAAAAGATGCATGAGAACATGCCATGGGTCACCTGAATGAGGCTTGCGGAATACTGGTGGCCCATGAACCACAGTTTAGGAACCCCTGTTCTAAAGAAAGGAAGTAAAATTGATCAAAAATTATCTCGTACCCCTAGTTTGGACATGGTGTAACTGTCCTGATTTCCCACAAGTGATTCCTTTCAGACTGATATTGGAGATCTGGTACGGCACAGAAAAGGATGCCCTTCCAGTGGTACACACCCCACCCTCAGCAGAGAGGAAGAGTTGGCAGATTAATGCTCCGTTGCCATGGCAACTTGGCCCAGGAAGCCTTTTCAATGAGAAACTGATGTGACTGGCAAGGCAACTGCGGGGAAAGAAATCCATCCCTTTCCTTGTGCACATCTCTGCCCAGGTGTTTTTGGCTAGGTGCTGTGACCTGTCTGTTTCCAGATCTTCTCCCATTAATTTATGCTAATCCTAAAAAGGAAATTGCTACGCTGCCGTGCTGCACACTTCTCAGGTGCCAGTTTGAATTCTCAAGAACTATTTATAATAATAAATAATAATAATAGTAAAAAGCACCACCCAGCTTCTTTTTCCCCATCCCCTTTAAAATTGCTATGCATTACAGATGTTTGTGTCTTCTGTTTGCGGCAATACACTAAGAAAGGGTACCTGATTAGCCAGGCTATTTTGAGGTAGGGCACAAGGAAACTATAATGCTTCTTTTTAGTGATGGCCCTATAGCTTTGATGGACTTAAAAGTCCCAAAATGTCCTCATGTTGTGATCCATGAACATAACTGATAAAAATGGGCCAGTAGCATAATGCATCTCCATCTTCCCGGCACTTGGCGTGTGTCAATCACTTATGGGGCTGCAGAAGGAAAGCCCTAGTTCTGTGTAGACAGGTCTGGAGAAACCATGGCTCTCCAGATGTAATTGGACTACAACTCCCATCATCCCTGCCTAACTCTTGTCTATCAGCTGGTGCTTCTTTGCCACTACACTTCCCCTGATGATGACGGCTGCTTCCTCCTTCCTGAATTAACCGGAAGGTATCTAGACTATTAGGGATCACATGGTAGATGAAATGATATCACAGTATTGCGGAGTCAGCTAGAGATGGTTTCTTGGGGGCAAGTGTGTGAGAGGACAACCGAGGGCAAGCTGAATGAAGAAGTAAACAATATCAGGATCCCAGTGCATAGTAACTCGGAGCAGGGCTTTCAGTGGGGCTGCCACCATTTTGTAGGGAAACATCCCTGTTGAGATATTACAGCTGCCTGGTGGTTATAAAGATGTTCTTGCTATGACAAGCTTTCCGAGCTGTGAGGTGGGGCAGCAGGAATTAGATCTTGGCAGTTTATTATTATTATTATTACTACTACTACTACTACTACTACTACTACTATTTTATTTTTATTATTTTATTTTAAAACATAGCTGATTTATTGTATCATTGTAAATCACCTTGAAATTTATATTGAAGGTGATTAATTAGTTGGTTGGTTTGTTGATGGATTATAAAGCCACTTCCGAGCTAGGGAGGAGGTGGGGTTGCGGGCCCACGCCCTCCCCACGCACACGGGGGCTGGCTCACAGCCCCCGCGAGAGAATGAGGGAATCCTTGGGCGCATCATCGCCCCGACCAGCCAATCGGCTGGTTGGGGAGGCGTGGCCTAGGACATTTAAGGCTGGCGCGCCCAAGGTCTTTCCTCTCTTTCCCGTTCCAGCTGCTAGTTGACGTACTTCAGCAGAACTCCCCCATTGGTGGTTAACCCTTACAGGTCTTCATGCAATTGGGCTGAAGCCGGTTAGTCAATAGGAGCCAATGCCCAAGCCAATACCTCTCAATTCCTGTAATCAATAAAGTTGTGGCCTTTTACGCCCATTAACCTTAAATAAAGTGTCCTGTGTCTTTATTTCACAAGGGGGGAGAGGGACTTGCCACGCAATAAATTTCACCATGCCCTTTTGGCTGAACAATTGCTGCAAACGGCAGAAACCTTTCAGCATGAAAAACTGCTAAGTCATTTAAGCTCAGCTCTATTTTGTATGTATTAGATTTTGAAATAAAATTGGAAGTGAACTATGGTTGGTTTTATTTCCTACCCGTGCCCAGCTGATTTGTGCTGAGGGTTCACTTCTATACATAGTTGTACCTAAAATGCAATTAAATACAAATATTTGAAAAGGGTGCTTTCCAAATGTTCAGCTTATAGAAGAGCTCTGTGTGTGTGCATTTTGCTTCCTCTCACCACGTAGCAAATATGTAGTTTTGTGGGAAACTTTTCATCAATATGTAGGAAAGCTCCCGATTTTGCACATAGGAGACTGACTCCGCTTTGGCTATGTGTAGCATAAAACCGAAAACTCTATAGAGTAAAACGCTTCCCTCTCCTCATCCACTTTTCATGCTCTACAGGGAAATGTTTTTTATACATGGAGTATTATAGCATCAGACAGGAAACTGTAGCCTCTCCAGACAAAAGTTATATTCTATTAACCTCAAATGCACCATGCTGGCAAAGAAACAGCAGTGCAGTCCCCACAAACAGAATATTTCACTGTTATTGTCAAAGATGCACTGGTAACAAGGACTATGGAACCACCTCCAAGCAGGTCTGCCTGGTAACTCTACTCCAACATGACCTCTCGAAGCACAACTGCCTCACGTACTGCCTCCCACTATGTACTGCCTCCCAGTAAGTTTCTGAGTACAATTCAAAGTATTGGTGCTGAGGCATCTGATCAAGGCCTGTATTTTAAAATGAGCTTAAAACATTTGCAAATGTTTGTATGTTTCATGCCAGGCAGAAAGCAGCTGGCTAAGTACTTTGGCAGTTGTTTATCTTCTTGCTCTGCTGAACAGGGCCCCCCTGATTTATAGCAGGAGACGAGTTTCTCAAAGTTGTAAAAGGGAATTACAGGCTGGGAGCAAAGGTCATACTGACCATACATATTACAGAATACAATCAAGCTGCAAATACACTAATTAAGAGTTGGTAAATAGTAAGATTTATTGTTTAACAGAAAATAATACCAGGTGCCTCCCATTAGACTCGAGCCATATTTTCATAAGGTTAAAGGGCAAGAGCTAATGGGAAAAGCAGCTGGCTGGGAAAAGGGGGGTGTAAACTGAAGAGGCTTCTTTTGAAGCTGTTTTCTACTGAGTTCCTTTTTTACTTTGCAAAGGCCTTTTCTTCTAAAAAGCTATCTATGTTATGTATGAAATATATTGGCTTAAGTGTAATTATGCAAAGTATTTAGAAAGTAAGAAATGTTAGATTCTTATGTTAGATTCTTATTTCATTGATGGTGTGTGAGAATGTGAACCCAAGATCTCTGTTTAGACAGAATTTAATACCACGAGCCATCTGTTTTAGCCATTTGTTTTGGAATAAAGGGGCAACAGGGGCCAAAGGTGATCTGGTAATTAAGGTGCCTTGTCGAGGCAAATATAAGATATATGGCTACTTGTCTGCCATTTATGGATAGAAGGAAATATAGCTCTTTGTCTCCCATAAAAGGTAATAGGAAATGGGTGTATCTTTTATGATTGGTTCTAGCAAACAGCCAATAGGAATTTCAACCAGGCTGATTGGACAGAGGCAGCCAAAGGAGGAGCAAGGGGGCTGGGCTGAGGAAATATATGTGCTGGCCATCAGGGCTGGAGTGGGCAGAGCTTTGGTAACCATATACCACTGTGTCTCTCATTTATTTGTCTGACAAATAAATTATTATTTTAATTTCTCTATTGCTGCGTTGAATATTTCATTCCAGCTAAGCGTTAACCACAAGCAGGGTGCTACATTTTAGTGCTGACCTTTAAAGCCCTAATCCAGGGGTCGGCAACCTGTGGCCCACGGGCCACAAGCAGCCCACAGGGGTCATTTAAATGGCCCATGAGCCACCCCCGAACCAAGCTGCCCACTAGGTGAGTCCCACAGTGCAGACTCGCTTCCGCGGTGCCGAAAATCCGGCCCACGGAGTGATCTCCGTGGGAGTAAACTGACCCCTGCCCTAAACGGCCTTGGCCCAGTATGCGTGAAGGAGCATCTCCACCCTCATCATTCAGCCTGGACACTGAGGTCCACCTCTGAGGGCGCCCGCCCTGTGGAATACCCTCCCAACAGATGTCAAGGAAATAAACTACTATCTGACTTTTAGAAGACATCTGAAAGCAGCCCTGTTTAGGGAAGTTTTTAATGTTCGATGTTTTATTGTATTTTTAATATTTTGTTGGAAGCGCCCAGAGTGGCTGGAGAAACCCAGCCAGATGGGTGGGGTATAAATTATTATTATTATTACTGCCTGTGCAAAAGAATGCACATCTAATATGTTCCATCCATTTAAATGAATGAGGAAGTCCTTGCTCCCATCCCTCCACCTTTTCCCACACTCATATGGGGGCAAAGTAGCTGGATTTGAATTTTGTTTTTGAGCTGAACCTCCTCTTTTGGTGGCCATGGGGAGGGTGTCCTGCCTCCTTCCACAAAATGAGAAGATTTCTGTATTAACGTATCGTGTAGCTATGGTGCTTCCCCATAAAAAGGGCCATGTGTATCTGTATCAGGAGTTACTGGTATCCGTGGAAAGGAATGGGGCTCAGCAACCACGGCTAACTCAGCCCAAGATGGAGGCAAGACTTCCTTGACAGCCAGTTGGCAGTTGCTAGGCAACAGATGTCCCCAATGTCCTCAGAGGCAAGGCAGTGGACCCAAGCAGTTGGCTCTTGTTCAGCCCAGAATGGAAGTATTAGAAATAAGCCTTTTTTAAAAAAAAATGGTCTCATTTAATTTTGAAAACTTTTAAATTGAAAAGTGGGTTACATAGCATTAGAATTTGAAGTGTCTTCCCCCTCCAAAGCTGGCCTCCTTCTCCCCAACAGCCACAGTGTCCAAAGTTTTGCCTTCCTTCAACTGGACCTCGTAAATCTCTTTCTGCAAAACGTACAATCTTCCTCAAAGAAAAAACTCTATTAGAGAGTAACAAAGAGCAGAGACTGTGTATAATCTTCTTCTGTATTTCATTCAGAAATTAAAGAAAAAAGTGAGACATTTAATGGTTTGAGGCAGATTCAATTTAGATTTCCTACCATGATTGAAAAAGTAAGTTAGAAAAAAAGCAAAAAAGAAAAACAGTAATAGGAGTCAAATTAATTATCTCTTGAAATGACATTTTAAAAATACACTTCTGCTATTTGTTCCTGACTACAGGAGCAGTTTATTATAGTCTATGAGGGAGCATTAGAGAGTAACAGTCTATTTGAGAGTATTAGAGAGTATTAAAGCATACAGACTATAATTTAGCTTTCTCATCCATAATTTATTTATTTTTTTAAATGAGACTTGTAAAGATTTGGGGTAGGTTCAGATTAGATTATCTACCACGATTGGGAAAGTAAGATGTTTTGATGGTGATTATGATCGTCTCTTGAAATAACATTTTAAAAATATGCTTGTGCTATTTGTCCCTGACTGAAGTAATATTGTCTCCCAGGTGACAACAAAACACTGATCACAGATGTTTTACGGGCAAAGGTGGCGAGGCGTATCCATGCAAAAGTTCTTTCCTACAAGAACCGAGTGGAGCTGCTTTGATTTCAGCACACAATCTGATTTTCCGGGCCTGTTGTTTCCCCCCAGGAGCTGTGGCCTGGTTTTCTTTCCTTTTTACACTTCGTTTCTTGACCCACAAAGCCTCTAGTGGTCAGTAACGTCACTGAAAGCTGTTTCCCCCCTCCATTCTGCAGTCCTTCATCAACCTCACTTTACCTCAAGTAACCAAAGTAACTGGGTCGAGAAAAACTTTCCACAGAACACTGCAGGCTGTTTTGCTGCTGGGTTTATTAACGGCTGGGCCCGATACAACATTTGGGGGTTTATTAAATTCATTTATTTCTTGAGGTAGATGCACACCGGGACAAGAAGTCTTGTGGCACCAGTTCTGGGCAACCTGCGCTGGTTACCAGTTTGTTTCCATGCCCAAACAACGTACGAAATTGCCACACATTGAGCATAGATACTAACTACCTGGGGCACCCACAAAATTCCCCATGAAGCGGCCGGGCACCCACAAATTTCAATGGCAGGGCCATGCACACTGCATAGCACCCACAGCCCCAGGCACCCACTGTTGCACAGCCAAGTTGGCACTCCTGACATTGAGTGAGGCCATTGGTCCATCTCGCTCAGTATTGACTACACCAGGCATGTCCAAAATCCATTTCGGGGGCCTAATCCAGCCTGCCGGTCAATGTGATCCAGCCCCTGTGGCAGTATATGTCCTAGGGTAAAATTCTAAAAAATGCTCAACAACTTCAATCCTAAAAAAAGCACATGCGTGTTCAATTCATCAAATCTGGCCCTCTTTGAAAGAAGTTTGGGCACCCCTGGTACACTGACTGGCAGCAGCTGTCCAGGGTTTCAGAAAAGGAACATTCCCAGCCCTAATTGGAGATGCCCGAGAATTGAACCTAGAACTTTCCCCATGCAAAGCAGGTGCTTTTCCACTGAGCCACAGAGCTGGTTTGGAAAGTTTAAGCATTATATGGGTCGAGGCCACCTAAGGACCACTTTTCTCCATATGAACCTGCCCAGAACTGGTAGGTTTCCCAAACACATTGCCTTCCCAAGTTCTGAAAATTGATGTCACAGATGTGTTCCATTAACCTTTTTGTAAAAATAATCTTATCAATCCAGGTCTCTCACCGTTAGTGGCAAAGGAAATAATCTGGTCAACATGGTACAAAAACCAAAAGGGAAGAAGCAAGAAGAACCATCATCCGTTCTTCTTCATAAATGTACCCAAGACTGTTATGAAATCGGTCAAGCTTCGAAAAATACTGTTCTAAAAAAATGTTAATATGCATAGATTAAATACGTAAAGTAGATAAGAAAATGAATATATGCCTAGTAAGTATAGATTAAGTAAGTAGGTAAAGCAAAGATGAAAATGAAATCAGGAATGGTTGTAAGAGATGAAGATTCTTAGAAATGCAATTAAATGATCAAATTAAGATTTAAGGAAGTCAAGCTGTGGTGGAGGACGGAGGTCACCGGGGGGGGGGGTAAGATGTGTTGCTTGAGTTTGTAGGGACTATATGTATTATATGTATATTTGTTTTGAGGTGTATTTGTGTTATTTGTATGTATTATTATTTTTCTCAATAAAATTATATTAAAAAGTAAAAAAGAAATCGGTCAAGCTTCTTTGCACCCAAAACAGCTTTTGGGTGAGTATTCCAGAATTTTCCAGAAGGCCACCTCCATCACAGTTTGTGCTTTTGCATACATCCTTGGAAAGGTGTGAGATGAAGCCCTTTCCACATGTTCTGATTCTGGAAGATTGAGACATGTAGGCAAGGGAAAGAATCACTTCAGTCCTGAACCCTGATCACCCAATGATCACAATGTCTGAAAAGGTCTTGTGCGTTACTATATCGAGGGCCTTCTGGAAAATTCCGGAACATGCTCTCCAGAAACCCAAAGAAGAAATGGGCTTGGTTGCTGCGAGGCACCGCCTGGTTATATGAAACATGATTAGCGTGTGATAATTTATCATAATTAGGTGAAGGCAAACACAATCCTCACTCCCTGGGGGGGAAATTATCTCTCAGATTAGATCTATCTGTTACTTTTATATAGAGCCATTACTGTATATGGGGGGGGGGAGCTTAACAAGCTCCAAAAACCACAGCTCAGAATGGTAAGAGTCGGGACTGAAAGAAAAGTACTGCAGGGTTTACATAGATTAATCAAGCCCTGTGGAATATATTCATCAACCGTGCGGAAAGCTGTTCCAGCCTCATTATTTTTCAGATGTTAACAAAATAAGCTGCTTAGTCCTGTGGTGATCTGCTCGTTAATATGTTCCTCTTTCCTAATGAAATTAAAGTAGATTTCTTTCTCTTGGTGGAGCTCACACACAAAAACCCCCCCACACACCCAACGAATTAAGGAAGCATCAACTGGGACCGGAACAACCATGTTTTAATAAGAAAAAAAGTTATTTGCGGGATGAAACACTTGGGGGCATCAGGTATTGATTGTGACTACCCCACCTCTGCATTCCACAAGACAGACAGATGGTTATGTGGCTGAGTTTTAAAAGTTTTTAAAGAAAAAATATATGTATCCAAAGATTTACAGAAGTTACCAAACACAAAACAAGGGATAGTCAAGAAAGCAGCCTGCGATAAGACCTGCATCAGTAGCTGGTACTTCTGCAAGGCCAGGGAATAGACTTTCCATCATTGCCTTCCCCAACATTTGCAATGTGTGATTTTAGAGGAAAGCTTTGCTTTTTGCCCTTTATGTTCCTTATGCTAGCCTTTGGCTATACAGTGGTACCTCTGGATGCGGATGGGATCCGTTCCAGAGCCCCGTTCGCATCCTGAAGCGAATGCACCCCGCGTCTGCACATGCACGGGTCGCAATTTGCCGCTTTCGCACATGAGCATGATGTCATTTTGAGTATCTGTGCATGTGCGAGTGGCGAAACCCGGAAGTAACACGCTCTGTTACTTCTGGATCGCCACGGAGTGCAACTCGAAAATGCTTAACTCAAAGCTACTTCAACCCGAGGTATGACTGTATACAAAAACAACGAACACAATTAATACTGAACAACGAACACAATTAATACTGACTGAAGTCTTAAGGTAAAGGTAAAGGGACCCCTGACCATTAGGTCCACTTGTGACCGACTTTGGGGTTGCGGCGCTCATCTCGCTTTATTGGCCGAGGGAGCCGGAGTACAGCTTCTGGGTCATGTGGCCAGCATAACTAAGCCTCTTCTGGCGAACCAGAGTAGCGCATGGAAACGCCGTTTACCTTCCCGCCGGAGCGGTACCTATTTATCTACTTGCACTTTGAGGTGCTTTCGAACTGCTAGGTTGGCAGGAGCTGGGACAGAGCAACGGGAGCTCAACCCATTGCGGGGATTCGAACCGCCGACCTTCTGATTGGCAAGCCGTAGGCTCTGTGGTTTAACCCACAGCACCACCCGTGTCCCAAAGACCTCAAGACTGAAGTCTTAAGCAAGTGCTTAACCCTCCCCTTAAAATCAACAGGATTCTGAAATGCTTAGCTTCAGCCGATTCTTCATATCCTACTACGACCACAATAATTGCAAGATCTAGGCACCATGAGCAAAACCGAAACAGTGGGAGAATAGATCTTGGGGGAGTTACAGCTGCAGAGAGAACTGAAAACAAGATTTATTTAAGTCATTGCAAAATATTTGCTGAAGATAACTGTCAGGAGAATGTTGACATGTTAGCTAAGGGGTCAATGGGTAGAGGCCACATTTAATGGATAGGGAGTTCATTGATCAGACAACGAAGCACAGTTCATGACTAGGAGGAATCTCTGCCGGAGAAGAGTGGGTGAGACCTTTAGGCTGAAGTCTGTGTTTAAAACATCTACGGCTGAGACTCGACAAACAAACCAAGGCAGCTTTCAGCTGCAGGCATATTTTAAAAGCCACAGACCCATCACTGGGAACTGACATCTATAAAAGAACTCGCTCCCCATATTCATGTAACTTGAGATGGAAGTTGAGAGTGCAAAAGTTTGCAGTAGATCTCAGCTCAGTGTTCACTGGTATCACCTGAGGTGTGCTCAGATGTAGTCAAGAAATCAAGGATGGACATAAAGCATTTCTTCACACATTGCATAATTGATTTGTCAGCTTTCACTGCCACAAAATGTGCCAATGGCCACCAGTCCAGGTGGCTTGAAAAGGGGATTCAACAAATGCGCATATATCTGATTACCAACATGTTCATTGCCACTCTTGAATAATTATTGAAGCTTGATGACACAGAACTTCCTGGCTTCCTGTTTCCTGTGCGCCAGGGGATGGGTGCCTCTTCCACACTGTGGAAATAATCAGAAAATGATGGGAGAATTGCATTTTCTGCATTCCTCTTTGGTTGGAAGAGGGACCTTGCTCTCACCTGCAGTTTGCCTGGCGGTCTGGCACTCACTTTCCCATGGATTGGGAGGGCAGGCAACGCACTGCGTGCATGGAGCACTCCAGCTACCACGACCCCCTCCCCAGCCTGTTCCTGGAAGCACAAGTTATCCTGGTAGTCAGGTTTTTTAATTGGAGTAAACTACAGTCGTGTGCTGGAGATGATGAGATAAGAAACTGCAAAAACAACCCAACCAGACTGGTGACTGGGAGTGGCCGCCGAGACCACATAACATCAGTCTTGAAAGACCTACATTGGCTCCCAGGATGTTTCCGAGCACAATTCAAAGTGTTGGTGATGACCTTTAAAGCCCTAGACGGCCTCGGCCCAGTAGACCTGAAGGAGCGTCTCCACCCCCATTGTTCAGCCCAGACACTGAGGTCCAGCACCGGGGGCCTTCTGGCGGTTCCCTCACTGTGAGAAGCCCAGGCATAGGGCCTTCTCAGTAGTGGCTCCTGCCCTGTGGAACGCCCTCCCATCAGATGTCAAAGAGATAAAAAACTACCTGACATTTAAACAACATCTGAAGGCAGCCCTGTTTAGGGAAGTTCTTAATGTATTTTTAATCTCTGTTGGAAGCTGCCCAGAGTGGCTGGGGAAACCCAGCCAGATGGGCGGGGTACAAATAAAAATTTATTATTATTATTATTATTATTATTATTATTATTATAGCAGCTACAAGGATTTAAAAGGTTCGGTTTGAGAGGGGATTTCATTTTGTGAAGGAGACAATGAGGGGAGGGAGCTTATATCAAGTTTTTCTCTACATTTATGGTATGGCAACACTCCCCAGAATGCAAGTTTTTTAAAAAAAAATCTGTACAAGTAAGGATGGAAGAAATTGGAATATAAATATGGGATTTAGCAAAACTGGAACGGTGTGTGAGAGAGAAAGGAACTGAGAGGAAGGGGGGCACTACAGTTTGAAAATATGGAGCAAAGTCCTCTCTAACCTCCATTATCCACAAATAATGTGTTTGAGATAAGGACAATTGGCCATAAATCAGCAGCAGGGAGGAAAGGAGTTTACCAGCTGCAGGAATAGAAGCTTTTGGATTAACTATTCGCAGTCTGGATTCAGACCATTCTTCCTAGGCTGGAAAAATGGTGAAGACGGCTTGTTTACTGGAAACCAAATCACAGGACAAAGTAATGCAGTGACTTTTGGAAACTGAGATAACCGCTTCTGCCAAGGTATGACGGGAACCATCAACAGTTGTGGGAATGAAGGATATAATACCAAATATGGACAGGAAAACATAAGGGGGGAGGAACTGTCACATGCAGGAAAGAATAAGGATTACAGTTAAGGGTTCCTCACTTGAAACTTTATAAATTACCTAATATTCCAAAACGAATGAAATCACAAGATTGTAGCTGTTATATAAGGGATTACTATATCTGAATGGAATGGAATGGAAACTAAGATTTTGGAATGCAGAACAAAATGTAGAAGAATGAAATCTAGCATGCGGGGAGGCCAATTTGATTAAATCATATAATTTGACATTGGAATAATTGGCATTAATAATTATATTAACTGGGTATAACTGGTCTTGTTATGAGGCTGCTATTGGAACAATATTGGAAAATCAATAAAACATTTTTTTTAAAAAAAAGACACAGGACTTCCTTTTGCAGAAGCCACACTGATTCTTCCTCAGTCAGGTTTATTTTTTGGTGTCCCTCAGGCCACACCTACTCCTGAGGCCAGTGGCATGTACACAAGAAAGCAACCTCGCCATAAAGCTGGTAAGAACAAGTTAAATGGGAATCTAACAGCTTAATGCTAAAGTGAAAAACAACTCCATGTAAGGTACAAGGAGGGTTCTGATATGTACAGTGGT